GGACCCGAGTTCAATCCCCGGTACCAAAAAAAAAAAAAAAAAATCTCGGCTCTAATCCATTAAATTTGGGATGGGATGGGATCTGAAACTACATTTCTTTTTTTTCTTTTTTTGCTATGGGGGATCAAAATCAGGACCTTGCACTTGGGAGGCAGGCGCGGTGTCACTGAGCTAAATCCTTGGCCCTGAGACCACACTTCTAGTAGGTCTCTTTAGGTATAGACGACTATTCCTTAATCTGAAATTTAAAAAATATATATTGACAAATTCTCTTCAAAATACGTAAACTTTTGGTCTTAGTTAAATTATGCTCTTTAAAAAATTAATGTTTAAATGCCTATCCTGAATCATCTGATGACCACCTTGTAACCTAACACTGTGCTTGCTTTCATATTTGGCACAAGTTGTAACCATAACAGTGAGTTCAATATTCTCATCACAAGAGACAATTTAATTTCAGCAAAATAACATCATCCACTACAATGCATTCATAAAATAAATGAATTTTAAATTTTGTGAATTCAATTTGTAAAATTAAGATAATTTAATAGTTGGGAATTCACAAGACTTTTTTAATTTTAAAAGTGGCCTTGAACATTATTGAGTATTGGCAGACCCTATGATTGACTATGATCTTGTTTCTGTGTCTGCCCTTGGCTGTGTTTTAGACAGTAAGAGCAGGGCTGTATCCACACCTCGAGGTCGTTGGCAGGAGAGAAGTCTGGCTTTTTGCACTATGTAGTTGATGGTGGGACCTCTGCTAACCCTAGGTAGCTGGGGAGAGGAGGAAATAGGCATTTGTTCTAGCCTGTGCCGCCAAACTTGGCCACCTGGGCCTTGGCCATGATCCCAGGCAGCAGCAGTGGGAGAGGAACTTTGACTGGGCACTGTGGCTGACTCACCGGCCACTCCACTGTCAATAACTTGGGAGGACTCATTTGGAAGAAATGAGTAACCCTAGGGTCATTGGGGATCTCTAGGCAGGAGAAGCACAAGGAAAAGTAGGATTTCACTTGCTAGGCAGAGCTCAGAGGGATAGAAATTTTAACTTAAAAAAAAATACATGACTTAAGTGACTTGATTTTGTTGACTAAGCTGTTAAGGTGGAACATACAAGGTATGGGCTTTCAAACAAATGAGTCCTAACTTAGCCTCTAACAAAAAGACCTCAGTTGGATATTTGTCAGCCTTAGCTTGACAAGTAAGAGGGAATTTCATCTATTTACCTGTCTGGAATCTTCATGCCTAACTTATGCAAAGCAAAACAAAACAAACAAATTTTAAAAATTTAAACCTTTTTAAAAAGTGGCATATATTTTCCAATGCTCTCAGAATTTTGTGACTACAGCCTCCTTTAATCACAGAATTGCTTTAAACATACTTTTTTTAAAAACCTATCAAAATCAGATAGCATACATCTCTGAGGCAATTGCTCCAGACATGTCAGTCTGTCCATGTGGTCCTTTCTTCTTCAATTGCCAGCAATTATTTTTCTTTCTTTTTTGCTGAAAAGTAGCAGAAGACCCAATTTAGTGATCCTGAGATCAAGAACTATACAAAATCTAAAATCTAGAACTTTTTCCTATACTTGGGTAACTACTCAAAGGCAGCCACCAATTACAGTGTGTACACATCCAGAATTTTCTTTGCAAATATAAGTTAAATAGAATATATCTTTCCCCGTCACATAAAAAATCATACCATACATATAATATTTCA